GTACAGTGGTAACGCGCTGGCTTCGCATTCACGAGGTCGAAAGATCGGTTCCCGTCCAAGACCGAGAGTTTAAGCTGTTTCCTGGCAGGAACTGCTGTGGTTGGGCACCACAGTGGGGGGTTGGGGCTTGCCCTGGCCGACGAATACCCATTGTATTGAAATGGAAATAAAGATTTATTATTATATATTATTATTATAAATAAAGATTTACTCTCTCTCTCTCTCTCTCTCTCTCTCTCTCTCTCTCTCTCTCTCTCTCTCTCTCTCTCAAGTATCATATGTGTAGATAATCTTTAAACTTGCAAATTATAACGTGAATAATCTAAAAAGAAGTTTAATATATATATATATATATATATATATATATATATATATATATATATATATATATATATATATATATATATATATATATATTTATATATATATATATATATATATATATATATATATATGTGTGTGTGTGTGTGTATATATATATATATATATATATATATATATATATATATATATATATATATATATATATATATATATATATGTTCCGGTTTTACGTCACGGACTCCCTTATCATCCAAGGGCCAGGACGGTTGCCTTCTTGCTATAGAATCAAATAAGAACATTATCATATGTGAAAACATGAATCATTTTTACCCCCACAGGCACTACCAACTACACCACAGAAGGTCCAAAGGGAAACAGACCTTACAGCTTTTATCTGCTATACTACAATGAACGCATTCTATCTGAATACCATTCTCTTCATATTACAGTTTCACCTTACGAAGCCACGAGTGAGGTTGGGGGAAACTGTAATTTGAACAAAGTGGCATTCAGATAGAATGCGTTCATTCCTAGTATAGCAGATAAAAGCTGTAAGGTTTGTTTCCCTTTAGACCTGTGGTGTAGTTGGTATCGCCTTGGCACAGTAATTATGTGTCCTAGGTTCAAGTCCCTGTCGGGGTAAAAATGATTCATATATATATATATATATATATATATATATATATATATATATATATATATATATATATATATATATATATGAAAACATGAATCATTTTTACCCCGACCGAACTTGAACCTAGGACTTATAATTACTAAGCCAAGGCGTTACCAACTACACCACAGAAGGTTAAAAGGAAACAGACCTTATAGCTTATATCTGGTATACTTAGGAACGAACGCATTCTATCTGAATGCCACTATGTTCATATTACAGTTTCCCCAACCTTTCTCGTGGTTTCGTTTTCACATTTAATTCAACTCCCAATCTCATTCGGGACCAACAATAACCAGATAAGCACATTGACCTTTAACCTTTAAACAAATAAAATTTAAGGAGTAAATTCATTATATTTCTATATTTTCTAGTATTACGTGTTTGAAATATTTGATATTTTTCCTTTCTGTTCCCCAACAGCAACGATACCTAATGAAATATGGATACTTGCCCATGTCTGATATGGAGACGGGGAATCTCCGCACAGAAGAACAATTGCGAGATGCACTGCGAACAATGCAGGTCAGTACAGTGAGGTCATCATTTTTTCTGTTTATATTCCTGCCTCCACCCACCCCTTGTAGTAATTTCTGCTAGGTATTGTATACTATTTTTACTGTAATTTTTTTTTTTTAAGACTGTATTCTGGCCTATTATCTCTATCGTTATTTGTATTATTTGTATATATTTAGATTGGTGATTTTGAAAGTATATTATGCAACAGTTTATCCAGTTAATGAAAAGATAGTAGCTAATTAAATATACAGTGTTTCATGAGAATAGTATATATTTTTAAGGCATTTTCATCTCATAATCATTACCTGAGCAAATAATTATTGTATAGAGCGATGCATTCCTTATTCTTAATCTTGCCTTATATTCTCGTTTTGTTTTATAATATCTTATGTTCGTGGTTTTTATCTCTCAAGTATTTTATATCCTTTATAAGTTTATTCAAGTACACAGTAATTGTTGCAGTAATTTAAATCGTTCATTTTATTATTGATAATACCAACAGCTACTTTAGTCATCAAGAAATATTTTACCGTTTTCTACAATAGCATCGTTTTCTTTAGTGATAGAGCATAAACTATTATATCTTTTTGCAATTTTCATTGCTCCGAATTTAAGTGGTGTTCTTGTCAGTGCCATTAATGTAGTGATGTGTTATAGTTTTTAATGGTTTAATAACTGGGATGGTTTAATTAATAAATGGTGAAATACATTAAAAATTTGATTCTGACTTTTTAAAAGGATATGTAATAAGAGTTTTTTTTCATCATATTTTGATATGAACCACGAAATATTTACAATTCAAGGAGTGTTTCACTGCACTTCGCACTAGACTGTTATATATAAGTTTTCTGTTCATCGTCATATTAAACTATATAATCTCTTAAAGTTCTTAATCCAGGTCTTCTCAGTAATTGGCTTTGAACAAAATATACCTTAAAAGAGCATTTACAATAACTTATAACTTCATACTAATAATAGATTATTGACACGTTTTTCCTTGACATTACAGAGATTTGGGCACATACCGATCACAGGTAGATTAGATGAGGCAACGAAAGAGTTAATGAAGAGACCCAGATGTTCCTTACCGGATGTGTTGCCAGAGAGCTATTCCCCTCTGGCGGCCGTCCACACCCGGTCCCGGGTCAGAAGATTCGTCAAGCAAGGCAGCCGATGGGACAGATACAACATTACATGGGGGTAAGTTTCTATATTCTTTGCTTTAGTTATTCTTTAATTAATGCATTTATTTTCACTATTTATTTTTATTTATTTATTCAATTATTTTCATATTTGATTTATATATTTACACGTATTTTTATTTATTTGTTTATTTTCTCTCTGAAATTGCTCATTCACCTTTCTAAAACTTGTCAGAGAAGGCATTATTAATTAAATAAAAAAAAATATGTTTATTTTCCCATATATGTGATCGGTTTTACGTCTCTGGCTCCCTTTTCCACTATGAGCTAGGACGATGCCTTCTTCCGAAGGACTTTGGTTTTGTCAAGTGTGACGGTTGCCCTGAGTTAATGCCTTTTCTAAACTCAGACCGTGGCTGACCGCGAACCCTCGACCTGACGAATGTATCCAGTTCTAAATTTAATGTCATGACGGGAAGCAGTTTTCCCTGTGTATATATATATATATATATATATATATATATATATATATATATATATATATATATATATATATATATATATATATATATATATATATATATATATATATATTCAGCCGATGATCTACCAGTGCCTTTTCATATCTATTGCATTATGTTGTTTTATGAGACGCTAAATATTCTTTTGTAGAGCGTTATGAGATAATAATTACGCATTTCCTGTCAAGCTAATATTTCATGCTACTAATTAATTTTCATTGCCTTACTTCGGAAGACACTTATCTTTTTTCTTTAAGTATGACTTTACGATTTATATACTATAATTTTTACCGAGAAAATAGCCTGAATAAATAAATAAATTAATTATTAATTAATTAATTAATTAATTAATTAAACAAAGAGATAGGGAGAGGAAGGGATGGATTGATGGAGGGATAGATAGATAGATAGGTAGGTAGATAAATTGATCGATAAAGTTGCTCAAGGAATATATTTCCTTCTGAAAATAAATCATATATGTATTGACATCTTTGGTTTCGATTAACTTCTGTATTCCTTATATGATAAATTATCCTGTGTCAAATAAACCAGAACTTCATTACGAATACATTTGCTCCTTATTTTTTTTTATTAGTGTCTCAAATTATATCCGTGGATAGTATGAACTATATATATATATATATATATATATATATATATATATATATATATATATATATATATATATATATATATTTATATATATATATTATTTATTTATTTTATATATATATATATTTTTTTTTTCACACCTTCATAGGGTCAATTATCGCGTGTCCAGTTGCCGGTCTTCTTTTGGAATGAAAAGCTTTTGGGTGCTACTTCCCGCTTGTTATCTACAAGGAAAAAATATCTACTAGGTTAGGTTAGGTTAGGAAGTAGATTCATGACACGTAGATAACAAGCGGAAGTAGCTCCAGATAATGTGTATTTTTATGTATGTATCGGTGTATTTGTTTTGTAGTCACCGTGGCTCAGGCGGTAGCCTCCGCGACTTTGAGGCGTCGGGTCAAGGGTTCGCTCCCCGCCACGGTCTGAGGTTAGCAAGGGCATGCACTCAGGGTAACGATTACATTTGTCAAAACGAGTCCTTCGCATGAAGGCAACCGTCCTAGCCCTTGGTAGAAAAGGGAGTCCGTGACGTAAAACACGCTTTATTGGTGTATTTGTTTTAGTTTTACAATTTAATGGGTTTGTGTCTGTCTTCATTCACGAAATTTTAGTCAATGAGAACTTAGGAGGTAAGACTCCTAATTTAGGAACTCCGTTTAAAACAGCGACCACAACTTACATGATCTTTATGGTTGCAGAGGTTACATCATCATAAGGAAACAACTTTATATAAAATAGTAATGTGTTAGAAATACTCTTTTCCGGTACTTATATTAACCAGAACGTTTAACAGATGCACCAGTCACGAGCAAATAAACCTAAAAGGTATTATTTCTATGTAAGTGAGTTATTTGTAGTCTCATACTCCATATGTGATCGGTTATACGTCACATTTGACAAGTGCGACCGTTACCTTGAGTGAATGGCCTTTCTAACTTCAGTCCGTGGTGGGCCTCGAACCCACGACATGATAAATAAAAGTCGTTACCGTTGCCACTCGGCCACTACGACCACAGGCTCATATTTTCATAATCGAATAAAAATTGTGGTTGATTAACGGAGTCCACCCTAAAGAAAACCTGTTTTCTTTGATACGTTACCCTCAAAGAATACGTTTTCTGTTCAATGGGGTACACTTAAGAAAACGCTTACCTCATATGCCTGCAAAAGATGGTGTCCTTGTTATTCTGAAATTTTGAACGAGAAAATAGTAAGTACATAATTTTCGGGCCATTTTTATGAAAAAAATGTTAGATTTGTCTGGAGTCATGTGAAGTATTTAGAGATCACGGATATAACAGTAGATTATTCCAATTGCAATACTACAGTTGAAGGTTTTTTGGACTTGAATGGGACTGTCTAGGTCAGTTCGATATTAAGTCTTCCTTCAGTTACGGTGTTTTTTGTATGCCTACGTCAACGCCGACTACTTTTGGATATTCGTTACACATCTCCTATTATCCCTTCACATATGACAAGTCACAACACTCCAACTCTGTTTCTCTTTGTATTTTCTTCGTGCCCAGGCCCGATGAGGACAATTTTATGTTATTTTTATTCTTGGCCCGCCCTGGTGTCACCCTCATAAAAAAAAAAATCGTTACTCAATTAATTTTTATTGCCCTTTTACTTTTACTTTCCTGTACATGCCAGTGAAGATCGCTTAATCGTTGTGTGTGTGTGTTTTATATATATATATATATATATATATATATATATATATATATATATATATATATATATATATATATATATATATATATATATAAAGAACTTCATGGAATAATAAATGATACTTTAGATGACGATAAAAAGTTATATTTACATCTACCCTAGAGAGGACCAGACAGAATTTTGAGAATTATCTTAGATGTTGCAATGAATACTTTATTAGTTTATTCTTATGCATAAAAATCATGTGTATGACACGCATCGAGGATACGTTTTAAAGTATCTAGAATTACTAGACAGACAGATGGCTGGAGAGTGGGTGGCTGCATAGATTACTGGATCGTGCATAACAAGACTGCTTTGTTGATTCGTTAATGGTGCCTTTGGGTTCGCTATTATATCTGTTAATGCCTTCTCTTTAATTCTAGCTTAACTTAGGAGACCTAGATATAAAATTCAGTGAACTTGTACTCTTCATTGTGTGAGGCTGAACTCGTAACTATTGAGAATGATAAAATCCATGCCTAATTATTTCATTAACTTTGTGTAATTTTTCTCCACTACATTTCCATTTCCCATCGCCAGCTTCCTTTTATAATGTCATCTTAGTTTGACGTTTATAATAGACTTAATACCCCAGCTCCAACCTGTCTTCCACCCCTATTCGGATGGGAATTAATGGTGTCATATAAATTGGCAACCAACAACAACAACAGCTTTGTCGGTTTCACCTTTAAGTATTGTGTTATTTATTTTACTCTCTTCTAGAACTTCGGACTTGCAAGTTGAAGGTGAATGAAAAGGAGAGTTATCTGTGATAATATATTTGAATAATTTCGCTTTCTCAAAACTTGAAATATTTCATCATTACACAAATATGTTTTATCACGATCAGTATGCTGAGTTGACAGAACATAACACATGAGGAATAAATCTAACCTGTCCTTCTCATCCCACTGAGATTCTGGTAATGGAGAGCTACTGACCTGATGATAGAGATACGTAATCTCAGTTATGAACAAAGGCTGAAAGAGTTGGACTTATGCTCACACGAAGCTAAATGAGAGAGGAGAGGTATAATAAAGGGTTTTTAAGTCTTTCATGACTTTAACAGAGTAGATAGGTAGTGTTATTTTGATGTGGGTGGCTCTAAAACTAGAAGTGAAAGTTTGAAGCTTCGCGTGAAAACTATTTAACAGGATCTAAGGAAGTACATATTTTAGTACAAGAAGTGTTGATAACTGGAATTCGCTAAGTGAAGAAACAGTAACTGCCAAATGCATTTATAATTTTAAAGATAGATATGATAAGTGTTAACGAGTAAAATACGACACCGACAAGGAAACGGAGAGTTACGAGCATAGGGCTCTTTCCTCTCAGCACAATTGGGTTAATACACAAACACCAATATTATAAGTTTTCTGCTTTCTCATCTACTACTAAAACAACTGTTGTTGAGATAATAATAATAATAATAATAATAATAATAATAATAATAATAATAATAATAATAATAATAATAATAATAATCTCTCCTCGAGATGTGAGAGAGTTTCTTTTCTTCAGTCCCGCGACAGAGGAGAAGGCAACAAGATTCATGGTATTTTAAGATTGGGGGTAACGAGGTAAACTGTTTATATTAGTGTAATCAGAAGCTGCTGACGCCAGAGGAATGGGGGCGTGGAAATAGGGGGGGAGGGATGGGGGAAGGGGGGTTGAAGTATGAGGAACTGGAGGATATTAAGGAAAGAAAGGGAGGAGGAGGAGGAGTAGAATATGGAGGATGAGGATGCAAGGAAGAGTAGACTGGCTTTTGTGGAGACAGAGAGAGAGAGAGAGAGAGATAGATACATTCTACAGGCTTTCTCTTGTGGGCAAAGGAGTACCTTTTCGAGATCCTCCCTTAGAATCGCTGTTCTGTTTAACCTTACCATTTCTGGCCTATCTGTGTAGAGTAATCAAGTAATAAATGCGGTCAAAGAATTGTCTCTCCAGCCAAAATTTGATCAGTTTAAATTCTTTTTTAATCTATTACAGATTGTTATTACTTTAAAAGAGATACTGGGAGATATTTTGCAGTTACTGTCTCAGTTCATGACTAAAATCAGTTACAATACTTTGTCATATCCATTGCAGTGTCTCCGTAGACTTTTTTTCCCCATTATGATGAACTAAATTCGTAGTATTTCTAAGAAAAAATGCATCAGGCAAAACCATTTTAATGTTTTATGACTGATTTTTTTTTATTTTCTGATCTTTCGATTATGGCTATTACAATACCCAAATAATCGTCATTCAAACAAGATTTCCACAGTTTTTAAGAGTGATTTGTAATATATATATATATATATATATATATATATATATATATATATATATATATATATATATATATATATATATATGGATGCATGTATAATAGAATCGACGTTGCTAAGAGGGGGATTTTTAAGTAATTTATTTGTTTAAATATTTGTTTATTTTAGCGTTATATTTTTTGCAGCAGAAGGAGAGTATTAATTATACCCCAACAACTCATAATATTTTTGAAAAAAATAAGTTCTAGATTCAATATAGTCTAGAGGCTGTTCAAGCAGAGTAAAGGTAGAATATCATCTCAGCGGGGTCTATGATTGTACCATTAAATGTGTGGTGCCAAAAATAGAGCCTTATTTTCATGAGCATGGGCTCCCCGTCCTACAGCACTCCTCTAAGAAAATATTAGCCCTCGTCTAAAAGAATACTTGAACAAGCTAGAGCATTTGTATATTTATACGTTTATCTTGTACAACGAAGGAGCCCCTAAAAGGCAAACAAACATTATGAAAATAACCTCCCCAGAGCAATCACGTAGGTTACACAAATGGGCGTTGAAGGCGAATATAGGAGTGCATTTCCCGTAGAGTGTATTACTAATGTACTTTTAGCTCGTCCTATTTTGATTCTAGTATAATTTTGTTCCTATTATTATGAGAACACTTTATTCATCAATATAGTAGCTAATATTAAGTGTGAAAAGAATTTTTTGTATTAATAAAGGTAAAGGGTATTAATGACAATAATAATAATAATTATAATAATAATAATAATAATAATAATAATAATAATGATTAAGAAGAAGGATAATAAGATGTGGCCTAATAGCGGCAGCAGCAGCAACAACAACAGCAATAATAATAATAATAGTAATTATAATAATAATAATAATAATAATAATAATAATACCGGAGTCATATATTATCGCTTAACCGATTTAACTGCCCATGCATAACTTTACATCCATTCATAAATGATTGTTATTACCTGGTATTCAGTCCGTTTCATATATATATATATATATATATATATATATATATATATATATATATATATATATATATATTTATTTTATAAATAATTGCTACGTTAAAGTTACAGAAAAAAAATGTCCTGTCCTTCAAAGTCTTTTTCCGTAAACATTATATCCGAGGTGTTAAATGTTAATATTTGGGGTGAATAGATGTCTATGGATATTCATATCAACTTTTTCAAAATAGAAATATTCTTTCGAAAAAAGACTTGTTGGTTTTTACTCCTGTGCCTACGTGTATTAGTGAACTAAAAATGTGTTAATACGATTTACTTTAGTCCGTACAGTCATGTACAGTGCAAATACACACTGGCGAAAATAATAATTTAATTTATCAGACAGAGCAGCTTGTAAAATGCGTATACAGTCAGAAGCTGTTGCTCTGAAGATTTCCTTGAAATATGAGCTTAATATATAAGGTGAATCGAAAAATTCTAATAGCTATATTGACTTGCTATTCAAATAGAGGGAGTAGTGGTAGAACTGGGTAGTTGGAAAGCCACTAACACGGGTTAGAAACCATTTCATGCATTAGGAAGGGCATGCAGGCTTAATCCCGCAGCAGCAATATGTCTGTGTCCACCCCCATTTGAATAGGGACTAATTTTGACACATAAAATTATGCATTGTGAGGAGAAGGAAGTCCCATGAAATAGAAAAGTATTAATACCATGGATTACCTTCTCCTTCATAGATGCTTAGAAAATAAGGGTGTACAGTATCTCCATCTAATTAATCTAATTATATTGTCGGAAGGATCTTTTATTTTAAGACTTTACAACTCTGTTGTGTTTGAATGTTCATGCATAATATGCAGTAGAAAACCTCTAAGGCTCTGTAAATATAAATAGATAAATAGATTAATTACTTTTATGCCACAGAGTTTACAATGAGTATTCTTTACAAAATATATATTACAGAATAGATATCATGGCTGTAAGCAGTAGACTTTTATGTAATTGCATGTTGATATAGCTTAGAATAATTAGTAAAGTAAA